TATTTTTGGTTTTTTATGTTTTGTATATTTTACATCTGTCTGTCTGTCTATCTATCCATCCATCCAGTGTCTCAGTTGCCTTAGCTACATTTTAAATGCTCAGGCTAGTGGCTACCATGTTGGACAGCACAGAGAAAGAACATTTTCACCCCTGCAGAGAGCTCTACTGGGTCGTGCTGATTTAGAGTGTCTGTTGCCTGCTCATGTACAGTTGTGTAGGTTGCGTCCTGCACAAAGACAAGGACTCTCTCGGCTGAGAGAGTAAATTGGAGCTTAACTCCAGCCCACAATCCACTGGCTGGGCACTCTGGCACAGATCAGCGCCTGCTCAGAGGGGACGCCTTTTTTCTAATCTGCAGAGAGACACCATGTTACACCGGCACACTGGGTGGAACTGGTTCAAATTTCAGGAATTCTGCAAGCCAGTTGTTAAAACACAGCCATCATTAAAAATTAAATGAAATCAACTTACAGTTAAACAAATGATATTAAAAACAGGTAATACATGTGCACGACTTCTCATATCCTAATTATTTTTTACATTTTAGTGCTATCTATGCCCCGGAGGTAATTTCACGGACACTGACCCTGTATGGTGGAAACAGCCTAAGATGGGGTGCCCCGGCACATCTCTCCCCAACCCCACATTCAGCGACATCTCACTGGCATCTTAAAATCAGCCACAGTGAGGACTTTTTTTTTACACCACAGAAATGGGCAAATGGTACAAATCAGAGCTTTGTCTGTCAGAGTGTTGGTTGTTAAACAGTGATCAGCTCACCACTGCATATGGGCTGGGCGCATGGTCCCATCATCCACCCCTGTCCCACTCACCCTCAGCATATCCTCCAAACTCCCCACCCAGTATCAAATTCCTGTTAGTACCCTGGGCCCGAGGCTGAATGAGGACCGTGATGGTGAGGGACGACAGTACGCATGGATGGGAAGAACAGGTGCCGGAGATCTGCATCCATACCCCTGGAATTTTATTTCATGGTTCTGTCACCCTGGACAATTAACTTAACCTCTGTTGCCTATACAGTGGGGACAGTTATGAACTGCCCATCATAAGCAGTTAATAAACGGTAGCCTTCTTACTAACAAGTATGAGTTTCACGAGCCAGCAGTCGTAAGGATCCATGGTACCCAGGGAAGTACCTCTTTCCCTGCATCCCGATGCCGTGCTAGAATTCATAAATGTGGCATCTTGCAGAAACCACACAACCTAGCTCCCTGGGGGCATTGATCCCCCAAACCACCCCTTCATTATGCTCCTATGCTGAACGGAAAATAAAGAATAAATAAAGTAAATAAAGAGAACTGGTACTTAAAAAAAAAAAAACGCCAATGACACAGGTGAACTTACTTACCAAACAGAAATAGACGCACAGACATAGAAAACAAACTTATGGTTACCAGAGGGGGAAGAGGGGAAGGGGCTTGGGATAAGCAGATACAAACTACTCTATACAAAACAGACCAATAACAAGGTCCCACTGTATATTACAAGGAACAATATTCAATAGCTTTTAATAACCTATAATGA